GGTATGCATTTTGTAGAAAGCAATATTTTACAGTTGCTTGAATATGATTGCTTACTAAGTTAATTCTGCACTGTGTAATAATCAATATGTTAACAGTTCTGATTGAATATTAATTGCTTACAAATTACTGGACTAAGTAACTCTTAAAAATTTTAATAAATAGGCTCACTTTCTAGATCAGTCAATGTTTATTTATTTCTTTTTGTGTGTGTGCTCATGATTTTCACCCTTCTCATTCTCAAATTGATTTCAGGGTTAATCCGAAAACACAACGCAAAATGTACAGGGCTTATTGATATTAGTATATTACTGTTAAAAAATTTAAGTGTTATGTCAACAGAGTAGGAAACCTTATTGGTACCGTGATTTTTTCACCATAACATATTGGTGCCATGATTTTACATAACATATTGGTGCCGTGAACTTTCGAACCAAATTTTTAGCACTTAACAATTTTTGTTGTGCTGTTTATTTTTGCATCATTTTTGGCTTGCGCTTATAGTGGAACTTAATTTTGACTTGAGACTGGTGATTGTCATGTGCACTATTGCATATTTATGTGAAAGTTTTCTTCCACATGTCTAGGCTTTTTACTGAAACCCTACTCGTTAGTTAGTTACAGTGACAGGCCTATACAGTGGTCGTATTACTGTGCTTATTTTATACTTATTGTTTGAGGTTGCATACCAGATATGTACTACTGATACACATTTGGACTTTGGAAACTTTAAAACTATTGTATCCAACACAAACATTTTCACGCAGTACCTGTTTAGTTAAGTATTTTGTTTTGTGCAAAATTTTGTATTGCATTTTACATATTGATTTTGAGGATTACTGTTTCACACTTTTGCAACTGTATGTTTGCAACATAAGGTTAAAAGGCACGCGTGTTAATCACACATTGGGATACATCCCTACTTTATGTGCTGGCAATTGCTGATCGCAGTTTAAAATGCCAAAGAAAGTGTCAAAACGAGCAGCCAGAGCGGCTAGTAATAGTGCAATAGACTGGGAGGAGAGTCAAGAAGTAATGGCTCTATCAGTTTTTGGTTCTGATCCTCTGGATTCTGTTCCTCTGTTCTCAGGTGCAGACAAGGGAATTAGTCTGAATGACTTCTTAGATAGGATTGATCTCATTGCCACTCATGTGGGTTGGTCAGATGAAGATAAGTTAACAGTGATCAGAGTCAAGGTGGCAGGTGAGGCTGCAGAATTAATTAGGAATAATCCTAGGTTAAAGAAAGAAGCCAGTCTTGACTATGTTGTGAAAGCGTTGAAAGAGAGGTTCAGTTCAGTGCACAATTTGCACTCTAACATCCGTGCTCTTATTCAGGCTTTTCAGAAACCACACGAGTCAGTGCGACAATTTGCAGCACGTATAGAGGCTCTTTCGTACAAAACTGTACCAGTGGAAAGAAGCAGTGACCCTGCAGCAGAAGCACAGAGGACAGGATTTACTTCTGTCAGTGTTTATCGAAGGATTGCAGTTGCATTTGCGACGCTTGTTGCTGCCACAGAATCACAAAACTTTTGCATCTGCTAAACAGCATGCAATTATTGAGGAAGACATGTGGGCTAAGAGCCATGCTAGTAGTGATTTTGCAACAGCTGAGGTTAGAGCAGTGAATGCTGCTAAGCCAGCAGTCGAGAAGGCAGTTACACACCACCATCAGTAACCAACTCAGAGCTCACTACAGCTATTAAGATGCAGCAGGAAAATATAGCTCAGCTTACAAAAATGATGGGCTCTCTCCAAACACAGGTGCAGAGTTTAGTTTAATATCACAAGGTACTCGTTCAAGACCCATACAGCCTCGTTGTTACAGATGCAACAGAATAGGGCATGTTAGCAGGGACTGCTATGCGAATATTGTGCCTAATCAGCACTCTAGACAGGGTCAACAGAGATTTCGAAATAACCAAACAGCCAGGAGACATTCTAATAACACCACACCAGCTGTTTCGGGTACTCCAAATACCACAAGTGTGGCTACAAATGCTTTGAATCCCCAAGCACCAAGTTTTAATTTAAACTAATTCAGGGTGGGGAGAAACCAGTCTCCGTTTCGTCTCCTAAAACCCTTTTGGAGGTGCCATCGGTTTTTACAGTATCCACTAGTGAGGCGTCTTTGCCTATTGTTGAGGGATCTATTTTGGGGAATAAAGTAAAGTTTTTATTGGACTCGGGGGCAACTGTAAACATCATAGAAGCTAAATACATTCAATGTTTTGGAAATAAAATCTCATTGGATTCATGTAACATATATTTAAAGGGTATTGCTGCAGAAAAAGTAAAAATAAATAAGAAAATGAATTTAACAATAGAATTTCAACAACAATATTTTGAAACAGAATTTTTTTAATTACTGACACACCTCTTTCATCTCAGTATGGTGCTTTATTAGGAACTAAATTTCTTGCAGACCACAATATGCATTTGGATTTCTCCACTTCTCAACTCTTAGGATCAAATGTAATTCTTAAATGGAATCTAAGTCAGCCTAGTGCTATGAATAATAAGGTTTTCTCAACTTCAGTTTCTCAGTCATTTTGTTACTCTGTAACCAAACATAAATTACCACCTTTTTCTGAAAATATCATTAAGCTCACTGCTCGTTCTGTAAATTTTCACTACTGATACTGTCTTAATTGAACCTTTAATAGAACATGCTCAAAGTCAATTTTCCATAGCCAGGTCAGTTAATCAGACTTCTTCATCTAACGAATTTTATGTCAAAATTGCAAATTTTTCACCGAATACACTACATCTCAATAAAGGAATGAAATTGGCCAGTGCCCAACCTGTGAATGTCATCACACATAACTCTGAACTTGTAAACAATACCACCATAGAAACAGGTGAGGATTTCGAGTCTTGGGGTGGTGAATTTGATCTTACACATTTACCTGAGCAGCAACAACAACATTTATCACACCTTCTCAATCAGTATAGTAACATCTTTGCTGCCTCAGTCACTGAGTTAACAGGGTGTGACACCATCTTACACAACATCAACTTGCGTGATAATATTCCTGTTAGGCAAAAGCCTTACAAAGTACCTTACCATCTCAGGGATGAATTAGATAGACAGGTGGCAGAGCTGCTTGAAGCCAACATCATTCAAGAAAGTGACAGCCCTTACAGTGCTCCTGTTTTATTTGTTAAGAAAGCGGATAACACCTACCGTTTAGTCACTGACTTCCGCAAGTTGAATGAGAAAACGATAGAAGACAGTTTTCCTCTGCCTTCCATGATTGAATTGATAGAACAGTTAGGAGATTCGAATTATTTTTCCACACTTGATTTAACTTCAGGGTTTTTCCAGATGAAAATTCATCCTGATGATGACACCTTCAAAAGTGGTTTCTCGACTCCTTCTGGGCACTATGAGTGGTTACGAACACCTTTTGGCATGCGAAATGCTCCTAGTTCCTTTCAAAGGTTGATGTCTATAGTTTTGGCCAATCTTTCACCATTAAAAATAGGGATTTACATTGATGATATTGTCATTGCTTCTAAAACTTTTGATGAACATTTGGAAAAATTGAAGTTAGTTTTTGATAGACTAAAACAGCATAATTTAAACTTAAACCTTCTAAATGTCATTTTCTGAAAGAACAAATTACGTATTTGGGATATAAAGTTACCAAGGGTATTATTATACAGCCTGATGATAAAAATTTAAAGACCATTCAGAGTTTTATTGCACCTAAAAATAGGAAAGAAGTTAGGCGATTTTTAGGCCTTATTGGCTTTTACAGAAGGTTCATTCCAAATTTTGCCCAAAAGGCACTTCCTTTAACTCAGCTCACTAAAGATAAAGTTCCATTTTATTGGTCACATGAAGCTCAGCATGCTTTTGATATTCTAAAAGCTGAACTTCTGAATGAACCCATTTTGGCTTTACCTAATTTTCTTAAACCTTTTTCCTTGTGTACAGATGCTTCTAATTATGCATTGGGTGCTGTCTTGTGTCAAGAAGATTCTAACGGTTTCCAACATCCAATTTGTTATGCTAGTAGAAAATTAAAAGGTCCTGAAACACGTTATAGTACTGTAGAGAGGGAAATTTTGGCAGTTGTTTGGGCCACAGCACATTTTAGACAATATCTTCTTGGTAAACCATTTACAGTATATTCTGATCAAGCTTCATTATCTCATGTTTTAAAACTTAAAGATCCCACTTCTAGAATTGCACGTTGGATTATGGGTTTATCCCAGTTTGATTATAAGATTGTTCACAAACCAGGTAGATTAAATTTAACAGCAGACTATTTATCTAGAGCAGTAAATGTTACACAGTTAATTCAAACTTCCATTACTCCTGAATTGTTGGAATTATTCAAAAAAGAACAAGCTTCTGATCCTTCTTGCCAACAGATTGTAAACTGATCTTAAGAATAATAAGTCTCCTACACCTAATTCTCAGATATTTTTTGTAAAGGAAGATGTTTTGTATTGCAAATACAAGAAACCCAAGTCACGTTGGCAGAAACAAGATAGACTAGTTGTTCCTAAAACACTAGTATTAAGAATTTTGCAGGAGCATCATGATTCTCCTACTGCTGCACACTCAGGCTATCACAGAACACTTCATAGAGTTCAAAAGTCTTTTTTCTGGAAGGGTATGCATAAACAGGTGCACAATTACATTAAGTCCTGTCACTCCTGTATCCAGAGGAGGGGTCATAGACCTGCTCATAAGGCTCCCCTTATGAGAATGCCTATGGCTACCCGTCCCATTGAGCGAATTGCGATGGATATAGTGGGTCCCCTTCCAGTTACTACGGCAGGCAACAGATATATTTTGGTCGTAACTGACTATTTTTCACGATGGCCTGAAGCTTATCCTTTGCAGGACACTACATCCATATCCATAATTGAGAAATTAGAACAACTCATGGTATACCTCAGCACATTGTTACAGATAAAGGTACTAATTTTATTTCTCAAGCTATAATGGAAGTTTATAAGAAATTGGGGATTACTAAACATACTACTACGAGTTATCATCCACAGTCTGATGGTGTAGTAGAAAGATTAAATGCCACCTTAATTAATTCACTTAGCCACTTAGTTTCTCAAACTCAGGAGGATTGGGATAGACATCTGCCTTTTGCCTTATTGGCACACAGAACTGGTCGTCATAGTGCACTTCAGGAATGTCCAGCTTTTATTTTATATGGCAGGGATTTGTGCTTACCAATTGATTTATTATTGCAAACCAATTTTAGAACTTATGATGACACAAACAATTATTCTAAAGATTTGGTTTTGAGATTACAAAAGGCTTTTAAATTAGTCAATCAGAATTTAACAGAGGCTGCTGATAAGCAAGAAAATTTACGTGGAAAGAATTCTCATGATAAGGACATAAAAGTGGGAGATTTGGTGTATTTATACACTCCAGTAGTTCAGCCAGGTATGGCTAGAAAACTCTCTAAATTGAATCAGGGACCTTTCAGGGTTATTGAGAAAGTGACTAAAGTCAACTATAAAATCTCTTCAATTACAAATCCTGATCGGATTCAGACGATACACGTGGACAGACTCACGAAGGTACCAGAGAGAATTATTTTTCCCACACTTCAAAAGGATGACTCAATTTTGACAGATAATGTAAAGAACTCATCACACGATTCACCTTACCATCTAAGGCCTAGAGATACACATGGTTTTGTGTCGAAAAAGTGAAATGAGAAATATTTGAGAAATAGTGTGTTTTGTATACAATTTTGGTTAAATTATTTTATTGTTTCTGGTAATTGTATTCTTGTAGCTAAATTTTATAATCAATTAGTATAGTAGTTGTTGTAGTCTTCTTGGCTTATCATTGGTCGAGTGTTGCATTTGGATTTATTTTACATGTTTTGGCATGTGAGGTTGTGATCAAGTTGTCTTGGCTTGGAACTTTCTAGTCTCAATAGCCCCAGGTTTGTTTTTTTTTGGAGGTTTTGCTGGGCTGGTCCCCGCTTTTCTCCATTTTCTTAAGTTCAAAATTTTTTTTCTCTCTCTCTTGAAATCCCTTAGCCATGGTAGTCGGGATTTGTTTCGGTTAGAATTTTTGACTAGATAGTTTTCCAGCCAACACTTCGTGGTGATTGTCTTCTGTTCTTCTTAGTGCAACTCGTTTTTAGTTTTCTTATGCCAAGGATTTATTAGTAGTTTAGTCTGCGCTGTACAGTCGCGGTGTTTACTCGTTTGCCCTCTCGTATTGGTGGGGTGTCAGTTCTTAGGGAAGTGAAATTCTGTGTGTGTTAGGGAAACTTAGGATTTATACGGTACACTTTTTCCTTAAGCGTACTTTTGAGTTGATATTGTCACTTCAATGGGTGATTGCAAGAACTAGTTTGTTTACATTTTGTGTCAAGCGCCAGTAGTTCTTGAATTGTTTGCTTTAAACACTCGTATACTCAGTGGTGTTTGTTTATTTACATATATTTTGTTTTTACACACTTTTCACTTGATTTGCCTTTGGGGGGGTTTCGTGATTTTACATTTTACTTTTCACATTTTATTTTAGGGCGTGTCACGTGTTGTTTGACAACATTTTTATTTTGTTTTGATGTATGCTTGTTGTGTGCCAGGGACACTTCTTGACCCTCTTACTCGGTTCACTAATGGATTTGCTAACCATACAATTATGGTAGGATTGGATTTGCTAACCATACAATTATGGTAGGATTTGGATTTGCTAACCATACAATTATGGTAGGATTTGGATTTGCTAACCATGGTATTTTTGCATACAATTATGGTAGGATTTGGATTTGCTAACCAATTATGGTAGGATTTGATTTTGCTAACCATGGTAGGATTTATATTTGCTAACCATGATTTATGGTAGGATTAATTATAAATAGGTATATGTATCCTTCTTTGTGATTAACATGTGGTACCATTATGTACACTTTTTTTTTCCTCTTCGTATTTAGTAACTTATGTAAAACTTTTCCATTGTTTGTGGGTCCTAAAATTTTTTTGGCTTCGCTAAAAAAATTTTTTTCCGATCATCGGAGGGATGTTGTGTAGCGAATTTAATTTAATTAAGTGATTCATAAAAATCAAAATTTTAATTTGTAATTATTCAAAATTTGAGCTACACAAGTTTGGTTATATTCTTTTTGGGCCTATTAATTCTAGTGTAATATATTTTGGCTTTCCGAGTTTACGCGAACTGCGTCTTCAATCCTGTACACGCAAACAATGCATAAGTATTTTTGTTTTTTTTTCTACGTAATAAACTCAGTTTTTCATGTCAAAAATTAATTTGATTTCTTAGTATTTAATATCATTAGTTGCAGAAAAATTAGCTCTTTAATTTGGCATAACTTTCATTTTTTCTAACTTTAATTGCATTTCAGTTATGAGCTTTAATTAGTAGATTTTTCTTCGTTTCGCTTGTGATTTAGTTAAAGGGGGGATGAAATGCCTTCTTTCCGGTTGGGTTGAAAAGTCACTTTTTGCGAGTTTTCAGCGTTCTTTCGTTGGGACCCTTGCAGGGTTGTTGAAATTCCTAATTTCCCCCCGGTCGCAGGTGGTGGTGGTGTTTATTTGGCGAGGGTTTGGCGACATAGATTTTCCGTTGAGGTTTCAAAATAGTGGTTTTGGCGAGTTTGATAACATGAGGGTATGCTGTGGTTGCAACTATTTCAACTTTCGGCGAAAAATGGGTTGCGCCAACTTGGCAGTCCGGCGCTCTCCCTTTTTTTAACGGGTTGTTTTAGGGGACGAGCTCACTTTTTACACTTTTTTGCACTTTCTACTTACCATCTGACGCTGTCTCGTTGGCAGCAGAATTTCATCTCGGAAAATGCATTTTTCCGCCTTTGGATCTACGGGCCTCTTGCCCTGGAGTTTTGAACGAGGGACTTAGTTGCACGCATTATGACCTCGACTAAATTATAGGCTCCTCATTGCCGTGCCTTAATATGTAAGTTACTCAAAGATAATTAAAATAGAGAAAATGCAAAGAAGAGTGATGCCTAGCCTAGTTCTAGTGCCGTTAAGAAGAAATTTCAGTCTCTCCTCCATGAATAGTTTCCATCTGCTTCGACCTTCCTAATCTTTAAGAATTAATTGCCGCCATCAAGAGTCTTCTGCATCGCTAGCTCCGGTGTCCCCACGACAAAAATGCTAACTTCAATATTGGATTGGACATCAAAGAGAACCTCCGTAGTGCTTCTTAAATCAATGGAAATTGCCGGACTTTTTTGAAAACTATCCACCCATG